AAGACAACTTGGGGAATAGGCCAAACATTAAACTACACTGCCCCATGACAGGCAGATGGACAACAGCGTCTTGGAAATGTAAACCTTGTTGCAATTCTGTGACATTCTTATCACTCTTGAAAATGAGATAATGTGGTTACTATGGAAACCTAAAAAGTATATAACCTGCAAGCAAAGTTCAGGGTGGGGCTGACATTTTGGGAGCCCTGACTTAAAAGTCATGGCATTGGTTGGTCATGAGCTCAGAATAAAAGCTTTGTTTCTTTGCACTTGGTCTCTTTTTGTGAGGGATTATTTTTGCTGCTATCATCTGCAGCTACAGTTGAGAATATCTTTTTTTTTTTTTTTTGCAGAACTGGGGATTGAACTCAGGTCCTTGTGCTTGCCAGGGAAGTGCTTATTCTACTGAGCCATCTCCCTGGCCCCTGAGAATATCTTTTTATGAAGCTCTACTATTATAGGGTCTCCTTCAGCTGCCCATGGGAGTGGCTCTTTGTATCTCAGTGCTACTGGAGTTTTTGGGCAGCTGCTTTATTCACCATCTGTAACTTCTTCCTATTTTTTCTGATCCTTTTATTTTCCAAATTCTGAAGCTTCTTCCAATCTGTGCTCTTATTCCCACCAACTCCCCAACCCCTTCCAGGGCTTTTGCAGCTGTGTCCCCTTTGAGACAGGGCTTTGCTAAATGCCTTGTGACCCTCTACAGCCCTCCAGACCACTGAAGAAACCTTGACTGAAGAGCTAGAACAGTGAACTCAGTGACAACCTGGGGGCCTTCATGGGCCAAACGTTCCAGTCTTCTCAGGGCTCTTCTTGCTCTGCTCTCCCTGTGTGGCCTTTGGCTAGAATCTCACCTGCCTAGCATCCCTTGTGCTGCCCCTCTCCAGGAAACACTGCTGAAGCAGATCATGGCACTGTGTTCTTCTTACCAAGGTACATACAAGCCTTTTCTGAAGTCCCACATCTTATTTAAGCAATTAATTGCTTTATTTGTAATAAGAGTATTTAAACGTTTGCCTCCAAAGCTGGTAACTGAGCATCTCCATTTAACAACACACAAGAGCTTTATTCTGAAATTCTCACTGGTTCTGTTTAAAGCTGCTTTCATCTAAGTTCTTATCAAGATTCTTTGATTCTGTCTGTGGCCATCAAGGGCTGGCTCTACATTGAAATAATTCAGAAGAATTGGATCAAATATGAAGTTAAAAAGTAACATTTTACTTGTATTTCCTTTTGATGTACCATTAATGTTGTAAATAGGTATATATATATATATATATATATATATATATATATATATATGTATATATATTGAGAAATCACTGAATAAATGTAAAACAAAACTTGCAAGTATTAAAAGAATTTGTTGCCATTGACGTAATTCCTTCCTCTAACCAGGGTAAAATGAAGTATTAGTTTAGAATAGTAGCATAGGCCATGTTCACATACTCTATTTCACTCATGTAGTCAGTGCCACTCATAGGCCTCATGCTGGAAGCTAGGAGAAATCTAAAACTGTGCAGAGCAGTTTCTCATGTTCTGAAAACCATATGGCTCAGAATCTTGATGAGTGACTTTATAAAAATAGAGATCCCTGAGCTTTATACTAGGTGTGTTCAGAGTATGAGCTAAGCTATGGAAATCTGCATTTTAAACTTAATTCATCCTTAGCCTTTCTAGTTTAAGAAACACTATGCCAGACCCAAAAGAAAATAAACTCATTGAAATGTTGTGGGGTTTTATTAAAATGGCTGACTAGCAACTGACACTGAACATGTATGGTCTATCCAGTACTTTCCTAAATATGTTATATAGATTAACTACCTAAGTGGCTGTAACAGTCAGTCATATATTTTTCTTTTTCTTTTTTTTTTTTTTTGTGGTACTAGGGATTGAACTCAGGACCTTTTCCTTGCCAGGCAGGCATTTATGCCACTGAGTTATATCCCCAGCCTTATCATATACTTTTCAATGTGAGAAAATGGGTATAGAGAGGTTAAGTGCACAGATGAGACACATGTAAATGGTAAAACTGGAGTAAAGTATTAACTCAGTTTGGTTCCTAATTGTTCTTTATATATGTACTTTTTTGGTCTTGGGGACTGAACCAAGAGCCTCTATCCTGAACCCTTATTTATTTTTGCTTTTTGAGACAGGATCACTGTGTAGTATAGGCTGGCCTTGAACTCATTATGTAGTACAGGCTGGCCTGGAACTCAGAGATCCTTGGCCTCAGCCTCCTGAATTATAGACACGTACACCTGCCCGAGGCATTTTAAGACACAGAATCTGGGCTGGGGAGATAGCTCAGTGGTCTAAGCAAGCACAAAGACCTGGGTTTGATCCCCGGTACCACGTCATGCTGTGCGGGCCCTGGAACCAAGTGTACTATGCAGGGCACTGGAACTGGGTGTGGTGGCACACGCCTGTAATCCTAGTGCTGGGTAGGCTAAGACAGGATTATTATGAGTCCAAGTTGTGTAGCAAGACCCTGTACCAAATAAATAAAAGATTTTCAAAAAATTGAAATTAGACACTGAATCTTTTTTTTTTTTTTTTTTTCCTGAGATAAGGTCTTGCTATACAGTTCAAGCTGGCTTCAATCTATGTAGTCAAAGCTGGCCTGGAACTCAGTGATTCCCCTGCAGCAGCATTTTTTTTTTTTTCTCCTTTGGTACTGGGGATTGAACTTAAGTTTACCTTGAGCTTGCCAGGCAGGCGCTACACTGCTGAGCAGCCTTCTGAGTGCTTGGATTACAGGTGTGTGCCACCATGCCCAACTAAACATGGTATTTCTGAATTGCTGAGGCTGGGCTCAGGCTTTTGAACCTACTGCTTCAGTCTCCCTGAAGGGTGGGATTACAGGCTTACATCACCATTTTTGGCTTACGTATTGTTTTTCTTAAAATATTTTGTCAAGTTTTTGTTTTGTATCTTAACAAATGTTATTGGTATTTTCCTATCATTTAAAGCTTCACTTTGAAACAAATGTAAAATCAGTTTTTCTTTTTGAAGACAGGGTTTCACTATGTATTCCAGGCTGGCCTCGAGTTCAGGATGATCTTCCTGCCACAGCCTACTAATGCTGGGGTTATTGGCATGCCACCATGCCTGGCTGTTTTTCTTTTTAAAGAATAGATGGAATTATGTGGGTGATGGTATGTTCCTGAAATCTCAGCACTCTGGGAGGCTGACACAGGAGGAGTGTAACTTCCAGTCAGTCTGTTTGACAACTTAGTGGGCTCTATCTCTAAAAAAGACTGGGGACAGTTTCATAGCAAATGCCCTGGGCCATCCCCAATATTGTGGCAAGCAGCTAAGAATAAACAAATACACATCTGAATACACACCTAAAACAAATGAATATCTAAAAAAATTAAAATGTATTACCTGAAGACACAGTGATTTAAATTCTAGTTGAATCTTACTTCATTTTTGATTATATAAAATTCAATGTTCTTCATCCCTGACATGTGGCTTGTATGTTTCATCTTTTCTAAACTATTTTGATAATGTTAACTTGTATACTCTATTAAATTGAGTTAAAATTTTCATTTCAGATATAGCAAGGCAAAATAAGCAATTCGAGGCATTCCTTCAGTACATCAAATATATTCTGTGGTGTGCATGTATCAAAGCCAGTTATCTAGGTCATAAAAAATAACTCTCCTAGGTAGTTTCACAGGTCTATTAAATAAAATTTACTTCAATACAAAAACTAAAGAACATGTTTACTTAACTCTTTAAAGAATAGGTATAGATAAATAGCTGGTTTAGAGAAATCAACTAGTCAAAACTCAGTCAGTAGTTATTAAGGTTTTCCAGCACTTTAATTTTGTATGTCTATAGCTGTCTATATTTTATTTTATGGTCTCACTATATAGCCCAGGCTGGGCTCAAACTGGCAGTGGTATTTTTTTTGCCTCAGCTTCTCAGTAGTAGGATTACAGATGTGCTGTCTATCATTTTACTATGCTGTCATAAAAGTTTTTGTCTTGATGTCTGACAGTAATCTACCTTATTGGAACTGATTTGTGATGTTATCGAGTTTAGAGTCTCTGAAAAATGAGTATTATACTGGTTAATTTATTATTCATGCTCTACATCTCAAAAGTACTCAGCACCGCTAGTGCTCTCTGAATGTTAAATATTGACTTTGAGGCATGATGGTGCATGCTGTAATCTCAGCACTTGACAGGCTGAGGCAGTAAGATCATTGCCAGTTCAAGGTCAACCTGGGTCGGCTACAGTGTGTTCAAGCCCAGTCAGAATTACACAGAAAGACTTTTGTCTTGAAAAAAACAAACAACAAAATGAAACAAGAAAAAACCCAAAAGGAACCCCAACTAATTTTGGAAAATGTGAATGTCAAATCCAGCAACTTTTTTTGCTATTAACTCACATAAGACACAGCCATGTCTTGTAAGATAGAACAGCTACTTCCTAGGTCATCATGAATGCCTATAGCACTGAAGTGTCTGACAGGCTTAATTTTTTCCACTTTCCTAAATGAAGATTATTTCATTTCAACCATTTTGCTCTCTCCACAATTTTATCTACCTTAGTCTACCTCAGGGGTTTGGCACAGAACACCAAACGCTTTCACTTAGACCTGTCCCAGGTATTATAGCTCTGCCTCCATGTCAAACTGGCATTCACGTACTTTATACACTTTCACCTAGCCCTTAGAATAGCCCTGTAGGAAGGCACTGCTATTATTCAAGCTTTTGATGAAACATCAAGGAACAGAGACACCAAGAACTTACCCAAGTCCCAGCTACTAAGTGTTAGGGCTGGGTTAGGAACTTGAGTATTCTAACATCTTGTCAGCTTGTAATCATTCTTCTCTGGCCTCTCAAAGGTAAAAGACAATGAAACTCACAGTAACTCAAAAATATCTTGGGGGGCTGGAGAGATGGCTCAGTAGAATAAGCACTTCCCTGGCGAGCACAAGGGCCTGAGTTCAATTCTGGTTCCACCAAAAAAAAAAACCCCAAAAACAAAAAACTTGGTACAGGGTGCTCAGCTCAATACCCAGTACCATAAAACAAAGAAAACCAAAACCACCTTGGTAAATAACTCTGAAATCTGTACTTTTTCTATTTTTATCAGAAAAAAAAAAAAAAAAAAAGGATTGGACTTTAAAGCCAGAAAGGCTGGGTTGAAAAGTCCTCCCTCTGTTACTTAATAGCCAGATGACTTTGGTAAAGTTCATTCTCTGCCACAATTTCATCTTCAAAATGTGGACAATAGAATTCACCACATAGGGCTATTGAGGAATAAAGGGAAATAAGGTATTCAGAGTAGTAAGCACTTGATGCTTTCACTTCCAACCTTTTAAGAAAACCCAAAAGAATTTGGCATATGCAGTACTCTGAGGAAGCAGCAGTATGCCAGGGATAAAGAGAATAAATGCTCATTTATTCAGTTAGTTTGGGCTCAAATCCCAAGGTGTCTCTTAGAAAGTTAATCTCCCCCAAGAACTTCATCTCATCTGTGACACAGGGCAGTTCTAGCTCACGACTTTATGGGTGAGATGTGACACAGAGCTGGTACGTGGTAAGTGTGTTAAGCACTGATCATCCCGCATTGATAGCCGTTATAGCACATTTAATAAATAAGTGATGGCAGAGCTAAGAGTTCTGTGCTTTCTTTTGCCAGGCCTCTCATTTTCTTCCCTGGCATCATCCTAAACACCTTAAAATTAAGTATCAACATTTCCCTCAATACAGGGACTAATGTCACTGACTTTTGTTACCTCTTAAAGCTGCCACTTAAATCTTTAAAAAAGTTCAGCAATGACTGCAAGCCAGCGCAGAAATGGAGTTTTCACTTTTATCATATGAAGGACTATTAGAAAATATTCACAAATTGTTTTTCCTTTTCCTTTTTGTTATCAAAGTTTCTCTTCATTCCTATACTTTTACCATAACATATACAAAATCCACTCAACATTAGACTCACAGATTAATAAGCATCCAGCCCAAGTAGTGTAGCTAGGTAAATATATGGCAGAACTACTTCTATACACTGTCTTACATGTTGCCTAAGGTACAGTCTACTTATCTAAAAAGTTACACAAGTGCTTAAGTTCCATTACCACTCCATAATTAACTGAACAGGAAACTTTACCAGGCTAAAACTTACAAAATAAAGCACGTCTTTTTTTCAGCAGTCGTCTCCCCAACCATCTTCATACTGCTCCCACAACTCTTAATGACTTCAATAAGAACTAAAGAGCACATAAATTAAGCAGTAACCCCCCCTCTTCCTTGGCATTAACTTTTAAACTTAATATACCAAAATAATCACTTTAGTTAAAAAAATTTATTAATCCAACATGATTGCCAAAAACCTTAATTAAGCATGTATTTTACTTAAGCTTAATGCTCTTTTTAACTCCAGCACGGATGCCTGATAATTCACCACTATAACGTTGCTCTTCTCTTCGAACTTCACGAACCTGGCCTCTTCTTCGAATTTTGGCTCTCCTGAACTTCTCCCTATGTTTCACTCTGGGATTGCGATCAATCTTTTTTCTCCTAGGTGTGAGTCCCCTATTTTTAGCAATCTGATAGGTAATGGCTCTCTTGGAATTCTGAACTTCATGAGCCAGTTCTTCAGCGTTGGTTTCTTCTTTCTTTCTCTTTAACTTCTGCCTGTCCTCTGTTTCTTTATAGTATTTCAGTGCAGCATCTTTATCAAAATCTGAATCATCAGAGCGATTTTTAGAAGCTGAAGTCTCTGAAGCAGACTTAGGCTTGGCTTTGGTGAGTTTAGATTTTGGGTTCAGTTCTTTCTTTACAGCACAATCCTTACGTGTAAGTAGATGTCGAATTTCAGATGACAGCTTCTGATCCACAACTGACAGCTTGTTGATCAGACTTCGGTAGGTAACAAGCCTTTCAATGACAGGATGTCCATGTGCGGGGACTCTTCTCGCTTTCAGGATCAAATAAAAACTGATGTTAGAACAATAGTTCAAGTAAAGATTGTACTTGGTCCTCAGGTATTGGCTTCCTTTTCCGGGTGGAATGAGTCCTTGCTCCACCAACTCCAGCAACGGTTCTAGCTCATCTTTCACTTCTCTTAACTTGATTTTTAGGTCTTCTATCAGCTCCAAGAGCTCTGGAGATTCCTTTCGCAGCATCTTCAGCTTTTCTTTCACTGAAACTTTAGCCAAATCCTTCACGACCTGTGTCTTAACCTCTTCGACTTGTGGCACGGGTTTCGCAAAGGCCTCCACCCAGGAGACTCCAAAATCATCCTCTTGTAGGGCTTGGGCTAGGCGCCGCTGAATGATCTGCGCTTCCTCCTCTTCCTCTCGCTCCTCCTCCTCTACTTCATGTTGATGCTGCCGGCCTCGGGATTTGGAGCCATAGTCCGTGTCGTAGTAAAGTTTCTTCCTCTGACCCCAAGACAGACTGGGATCTACAGAGGCCTCTGCCTCACTCTGCACGGAGCTCCCATCACTATCCTCCTCCTCCTGCTCCTCCTCCGTACTCTCTCCGTCTTCATCGACATCTATAGCTAGCACCTCCTCCTCGCCGTCCTCCTCCTCCTCCCCGCTGTCTACCTCTCTCCAGCCCTTGGCTAAAGCTGCCCGGGCCCGTGCCTCATGGAAGTCATCTACCTCGTCCTGGTAGTAGCTGGAGTCCCGGGGTGAGGGTGGCCCACCTAAATCGTCTTCATTTTCGTCTGCCGCGGTGCGGCCACCTCTGGCTTGCACAGCTGCCCACCGTGCGGCTCCGCGCCGCCGGGATCTCCCCACCATGGCTCACGCAGTCTCAGCTTCTGCAGCGATGCAGGTTTCAGTCACCTCTGGTCTAACAGCAAGTACCACGCGCGATGGCGGCGTCTGGGTAGCTACAGAGACTTCCACTTCCTTCCTGACTAAGGGGGCGGGACTTCCGCTTCTGGATTTTTTTTTTTTCTTCTTCTTCTTTTGGCTGTGCTCCTTTGTTGCCTATCAGTTCCGGCGAATTAAAATCTCTCCCTGTGGGAACTACAGGTTAAAGAAACTGAGTTCCGGGAGGGCGTGGTGGCGCACGTTATTATCCCCGTACTCGCGTAGCTGAAGCCGGAGGATTTTTCCGAGTTTGAGGCCAGGTTGGGCTCCATAGTGAGTGCAAGCCCAGCCTCAACTACATTGCAAGAACCTGTCTCAAAAAAAAAAAAAAGAAAGAAAGAAAGAAAAGAAAGAAAAAAAGAAAGAAAGAAAGAAAGAAAGAAAGAAAGAAAGAAAGAAAGAAAGAAAGAAAGAAAGAAAGAAAAGAAAGAAAAGAAAGAAAGAAAAAGAGAAAGAACGTGCTGTCCGCAGAATCCTGTCGCGAGATTTCCGTTCTCTCGCGCGTGAGCCTGGAGGCCGGAAGCGAGTCCGCCCACGTGGCGAGGTTGCCGTGCCAGCAGGGGGTGCTGTGAGCGCGCTGGGCGCCTTTGCGTGGTTTGGTGTGGGAGGCGCTGAGTGTGAGTACAGCAGAGGTAGGGGTGTGCCACATTTTTCCTTTCTGACGGTGTGGAAGTTAAGTGGTTTGCTCATAGGTTTCTCCGCCGTAACCTGCATTCACCGTGTCCCGAGTAGCCCCGGGCGCGGGAAAGGCTGGGCCAGGCGTCGGCCAGGGAGCGGGATCGGGTGGGCCGCTAAGTGCGGCTGTGCGGCCTCTGGGCTCCGGGGCTTGGTCTGTGAGGAGAGCTCCGCACCGCCTCTGCCCAGGACTTCCATTTCTTCCAGAGTTCCCGCTCCTCAGTTCCCCGCTGGGCGTAGTGGGTCACTCACTGCACGTAGGCTTCCCTGCTCGTGCGGTCTAGCCAGGATCTGCTGAGTAGAGGAGTGTTGAATTTACACTGATTGAAGCTGAGAGAATGGTGACGCCCGAGGCCGCAGCCCTTTCTAAGAGAGATAACCTGGCCTAGAGCGGGGTGTAGGAACCGTTAATCGAAAATTTGACTTGGGACACGTGGCAGCAAGACTGCCGCAAACACGACAGCGAATCTGGCAGGGAAACCAGGGACACCTCTGCCACTCAAGGAATTGCAATACCCTGCGGACTGAACGAACCCAGGCCCTTTGCATTGAGCTACATCCCCAGTACTTTTTATTTTGAGACAGGGTCTCACTAAGTTGCCCAAGCTGACCTTGAACTTCGGATCTTCTTGGCTTAGCCTCTAATTATCTCCAATTACATTAAAGAGGTAATGTCACATTGCCTCTTTAATGTGAATGAATTTCAGACCTTCTCCAGAGGGAAGGATGGAAAATCCGAAAACATAGATTGCTACTGTATATTTGAGGAAGAAAAGTGATAACTAGTTATACTAGTTTTAATATGTATTATTAGAGATAACAGGTGTGAAAGGACAGCACTGTAATTTTGGCTTAAGTTTAGGTTTCCCAACACTGTATGATAGGTTCAAAGTTAGTATTATAACACTGAAGCGTATAAAGTTGGAAGCCGATTTCTGCTAAAATTAATGGTGACATAACATCTTTACGGAAAGTATAGTGTCATGTTAAGAATATAATACAAGTTTTCAGAAAAGTAACGTGAACTAAGCAGTATTTTTAAAGTGCTTAAAAGTGTCTTAAGCATTTAAATCTTGACGAAATTTTATAAATACAATTTTGTTTTTCTTTTTTGAGACAGGGTCTCCCTGCGTATTTGAGGCCAGCCTTGAACTGCCTATGTTGCCCTTGCTGCCCTTGAATGCCTAGTAGTCCTACCTCAGCCTTGTGAGTGCTGGGATTACAATTGTGCACCACCACACAACTCAGTGAATAAAAAGGTATAGGTAAAAATCTGTCTTTTTACGGAAGCATGAGATAATAATAAAATTATTGCAGCGTTGGCGATTGGACTCAGGGATGCTCTACCACTGAGTTACAGTACCTCATTATTTTGAGATATGGTCTTTCCCATTTGCCCAGACTAGCATCAAGTTTAGGATCTTCCTACCTCAGCCTCCCAAGGAACTGGGATCATCAGTATGTAAGATTTGGTCATCTGTGTTTTCCTAGCATGCACAAGGCTCTGGGTTCAATCCCTGGCCCTACAGAAAATCCTCAAGACTCAACCAAAAAAACAAAAAGCATGTTTTATCTAGGATAGGACTGTAATTATACCCTGGCTTTAATTGTCCTACATTTTTCTTATATCCAAACATTTAGGTGTATAAAGCAAATATTAGTTGCTATATATAAATTAGAAAACCTTTAAATGGGGGGTGATAATATTAGTTTAAATATTATATTTCCTGTCCAGGGTTTCACTGTTTAGTGAATATTCAGATAGTGCTATATTCTAATTTTTTTTTTTAAACTAAAGAATAGTTTAAAAGTCAGTTCTTCATTTCAACAGCTTCTCCATAACCTTCCTAAGCCTAATATTATTTACCCCTTAGATAAGGAATTTTTGAAAATTTGTATTTCTAAACTGGGTTTGGTGATACCTGCCTATAATCCTAGCACTTGAGGGGAAGTTCTCTGTGAGTTCAAGGCCAGGCTAGTGAGACCCTGTCTCCAAATATAAAACAAAACAATCCCCAAGTCATACTGAGTTTCCAGAAAAAACAAGAATAAAAATGAATATTTGACCTTGATATTATATTTGTGGCAAGTACAATATGTCATTTTTTTGGGTATGTATTTAGTATAGAATTGGCAGGGTCTCACTACTCAGTTTAGAGTCATAGCAATCCTTCTGTTTTCAGCCTTCCAAACACTAGGATTACAGGCACGTGACACCACGCCCAGTCTCAATCCTGGGGGTGGGGCCAGCATAGCACACCTGGGATTAAACCCTAGTCCCTGCGTCTGCCTAAGCAGGTGCTGTAATCTACTGAGCTATCTGTGGAAGCATCCACTTAAAGGCCTGAGCTAGGGCCAGGCCCCCTAGGATTTTTTTTTTTTTTTTTTTGTTCCTCGAATGCCTTCAGGGCACTTTTGGCCAGTGGGAGAGGTGTGAGGTTCGAACTCCAGCAACCTGAGGCTGACAGCTTTGGACTGAGCTATCTGGCTGGCCAATATATCATTAATTGAGTCTTTACTACATTATTTTGGTATCTGGCTCATGAGTAAACAAGATACATATAGTTAGGACCACTGGGTCTTTATGCCCTAAGCCATGTAGAGAATTTTCTTACTGTGGAAGACAGAGTTCTGTAACTGACACACTAGATGATACTGGGATACTTCCCCCAGGTGTGTGTTTTGCCAATTGAAAATATCCCACCAGATTTGTTTAAATATCTTTATTTCTTCCTGAAATACTGCTGCAGTAATACTTAATGATAGCGAGTATTAAGAGTGGTTTCTTTGTCTATTTTGGTTTTTCAATACTAGGTGAAAGTATTGAAAAACCAATTGTATTGCTATGTAGTTGAGGCTGACTTTTAAACTTATAATATGTGACCCGAGCTGGCCTCCAGCTCGTCGTGATCCTCTTGCCTCAGCCTCCTGTATATGTCATACCATGCCTGGCTATAAGTTATATGTACCAGGGAAGGGCCAGGGATATAGCTCAGGGGGACAGTGCTTGTGTTTGATTCTCAGTAACTTAAAAAACAAAACAGAACAATATTTGCCAGGAAATGTCATAAACTCTAAGTGATGAGTCTCTACATCTGGGGAAACAAGTGCAAAAGGAGGTAATAAAACTGTTATGTAGTGGAACTAAATTTGAAACCAGGGTATCTCCAGTCTATGTTGTGCTATAACTATTGCAGTATACTAGTCTTTGAATATTCTCTTAATGGGTCTCCTTATTTTTGGTGTCTTGCACATTTGATTTGGTGTCATCAGGATATATCTTCCCAGAATACAATTTCCAACACCCTACACCTTGCTTCAAACTTTCAGTGTCTCAATTCCTATCAAAAGTTGTCACTGGGCTGGGGAGATGGCTCAGTGGAATAAGTGCTTCCCTGGCAAGCGCAAGGGCCTGAGTTCAATCCCCGGATCTACCAAAAAAAAAGTTGTCATAGTTTACATTACCCCTAATGTCTAGCTCCAAACATCTTTTCCAGCCATCAGTCTACTGTAGAACCTGCATTCTAATCTGAGTGTTCTACTCTTTTTTTCTTCCTCTGGGTACTGGGAATTGAATCAGCTTTTCTCTACCTGTTAGGCAAATGATTCAGTGCTGAGTTACTTTCCTAGCTGTTTATGAATTTATTATTTTTATGTTATCAGGGATTGAGTCCAGTTGTGCTCTGCAACTGAGCCACATACTCAGCCCTTTTAATTTGGTGGCATTTTTTGTTTTGGCTATTATAGCAACAAACTGGACACTTACATAGTTGGACTCCATATTTTTCTGAAATTTTTCTAAAAGGCACACTGTCTGTCACTTATGTAAACATCAAAAACCGGGTAGATTTGTAGTTTATTAATTGATGCTACTTCAGTGACTATAAGACAGTTTGATTATACAGAAATTTGTAAAAAAAATTCATTATAATAATAGCCAAAGACAAGACCACTCATGTCTGTGTGTATAACTATGCCTAAATTATGTTGTTCAGACAGACAGTGATTTTTTTCCCACTCTGGTGTCTACAGCTGATTTCCTATTCAGACTGCAAGGTTTATGATTTCTAAGACAGATACTATGCAGCAGTCTAACAACAGAATGCTATGTGTTGCTGTATTCACTGTAGCATGTATTTCTATACTATAGCATTTCAAAGCAGTAGCCTTTAACAGTGCATTGTTTCTTGAACTTCTGTACTATTCAACAAAAGGTTTTTTAACTGTGTGTCTGTATGTATGTATATATGTATGTATGTGTGTATATATACAGGGTTTTTAAAAAAATTTTATTTATTTATTTGTGTGTGTGTGTGTGTGTGTGTGTGTGTGGCCACCAGGGGACGGGGTTGGCTGGCATGTGGTGCTGGAGGATTGAACTGTGG